TTCACTCACTGTTTACTATAGCCAGAACGCTGTACTGTCTTCACTTTCAGGTTACTTAGTAGTTCTTCCGCCGATTTCTCGCAACCAACAACGTGATTTTTTATTTGGGATTTCGAGAAACATAACATGAATCGTTACGGCATTCATAACACAACACCTCGCCATGTTTCAACTTTTAAGTAGTCAGTTAACAAGGTCTTTCATAGTAGCATTTCTATGGGATTGACGTACTAGCATGAATGGGTTCAATTACCAGTGTTCACTGATGACGTCATTTGACTGGCCCTCTAGAGGCGAAATAACGCCAGGAAAAGCGGAAGTTTGTCGTCTGCTTCACAGCCCATTTTATACCCGAAATTTAGGGCATTTCGCAGCACATATAAGTTATTTTTATGGACAGAATTCATTCATAGATCTCAGATTTCATGTACAGAGTGTCAAAAGCCACACCTCTGCTCCCCTTTAATTAACATTTAACTAGTTTTTAGCTGGCTTAAAACTAGCTTAGCTTGCTTTGAAAACCAGCATAAATCTACAATAGAGTCTGAGCACAACTTAACATTTACTGCAGAATACTTTATTTTAGCTGGAATTAATTATTTCGCTGAAAAGACATTTTAGGTGTTTTGTATGGAATTTATTTTCACTGATTTTTGGCGAGTTGAATTTAAAATATAGGGAAAAAGGTATATTTGCTGGATTTTATTTTCACTGAGTCCTTCCTGCAGCGAAAATTAATTCCAAGCGAAAATAAAGTATTTTACAGTGACTAGATTTCAGTTGGCTTAAAACTAGTTTAGCTTGCTTTCAAAACCACTGTATAATTACAGTCTGAACGCAACTTAACATTTAGTTTAGCTAGATTTCATTTAAAACCACCATACTGACTGTAGTTGTCCACTATTAACCAGTCTAAGGAATATTTCAATGAAAACGATCCTAAAAAAATGTCAATAATACAGGTTGAATTCTTACCACAATGAAATTTTCATGATTTGATGTCTGTATGAAAAATTCCATGATTTCCACAGATTTGTGAAACTTGTATTTTGTACACCCATCGTTATTATATTTATTGTAGATTTAGTGGCAACCAGCAGCACATGTCGTTTTTATTGGAGTTTTTAACCGTCATGCCGGAGGAAGTTCACAGTAGACCTTTAAGATTGGGTGCTAATAGAAGAGATGAAATCACTACAGAGTTATCTGAGTCTGTTTCCATGACAATATCAATGTTGGTAAGTTAATTAGCCAAAATGATTTTCAATCAATTTCTTTTAAATTATGATAATTTGTGTATTGTGAAAAATATCCATTACAGTTCGTTTGTCTCAAGTCTTGCCTGCATAATTATAGGCATCTTTGATTTTATGCATCGGGATGCCTTTTGTGACATTCCGGTTGTGACCCAAACCAAATGTCACTATCAGCATTGGTATTCGATAAGTAAATTGTCTTGCAAAATTTGTTTAAAATGTATGAAACATTTATTTTTAAACCATAATGTTGTATTTTATATTTCTTGAATTTATTTGTCAAATTTTGCACTACAACTGATTACTCAGTTCCTAAACAACTTAATTTCATTGTCACAACAAGTGATTTCATTGTTCTGGACAACTTTGGTGATAGTTTGGAAGTTTTATTTGTTCATTCATTACTGTAAATGTAAACGTTTTAGAAGCTGTTGGTACAAATAATAAATTACAAAAATCCGTCAAATAATCACGTGGACGATTTTTTTGAAGGAGGGTTTTTGCAGTAAATAAAATCATGAAACTCATGAACATATTCCTGGCTGCAACGTTTCAAATGGGTTTCATTAAACCTTTTACAATAGGCATTGCAACAATAAGTTATTTGTTGCTGTTTTTAGTTTGAAACATTTGCATTTCGGGAATGTTAAATTTCTTCTAAATTGTGAAACAAAATATTTTGACTCCAATAAAGGCGTCAAATCAGATGCTTCTCATGTGTCATAGGAATCTGACGTTATTCATGTGTCATATTATAAAATATCCCAAATCTACTGTGGCTGTTGCTTATACTCGACCGTGTTAGCGCCCAGGGGCCTCAACTCAGAAAATCATGATTTTTTAGGAGTGGGTGCTTACCGGATTCATCATGAGGGGAATATTAGATCTTTGAGGGAAAATCAAATTATGAAATCAGCTGCGTCATCATTGCCTTTCACAATGAAGAAACAGAAATGATCACAAGAAATGAGCTTAGACTTCATTATTATTTAATATTTCTGTTCTTTCTCTGTAGACAACGTGTGTAGAAATGTACGCTGCTGACTTTAGGTTATTGACCAAAGTTTTCAAATGTTTAGCGAGTTGGTTTAATCTTGGTGTGGTCCCAGCAGAACTGATTGCCCAGTCTAAACTTATTTTAGCACCATTTCATGTATTGGTAAGTGATATCAATTGTACAAACTATTGAAAAAAGCACTTGCAGGAAATAATGAGCGATGAGTTATGTTTGTTTTTTTTCAAAATAAACTTAGTTTGGTCATAGCATAAATAATTGTTCGCTATAGTAACAAAACATTAGTGAAGCATCCTGTAAATCTTACCTTGAATTGTTTTTGATAATTTACAGTTAAACCGTGAAACACCAACATTTTTGCATGAAGCATCCACAGACTGCATTTGTGCGGCACTGTATGTGTCTGAAGTAAGTAGCTCTTGTCGTTACGCATTAATTATGATAATTATTGGTTAATGTCTTTAGAAAACGCATCTGATCATAAAAAGAGCTTGCCTTTAATTTGAAAATGGCTGTAGAGCTAGGGACTCCTAACGCAAGAGATCTGGGGAGCTATGCTGTTAAAAACTCTTCAATATGGGTATGAATAAACTATTTTTCATTCCCTTTGAGATCCTGCGTTATGGGAGAAATCAAACGTAAAACGGGACGGACACGGATCATATCGTCATAATTGCGTCAAATGGGCATAATTTTCCATTGATCAAAATTGTCTATACAGTCAAACCTGTCTATAGCGACCACCCAAGGGACTTTGAAATTTTGGCCTTTATAGACAGGTGGCCTTTCTATACAGGTTCACTAATTTATTCATGAATATTAATTAGGCACTGAATGTATTAAAACGGATCTCGCAACCCCATTTGAAACACTATTACACTACTGTACACAGTATCCAAACACTTTATTACAAATAAAAATGTTGATTTTAAATTGTATTATGTAAACTAAAATCATTTCACAAAAAATCTATCATTGCACAATAATGATAGTATGAAAATTATTTGAAGATTTGTACAGTAAAGTTGATGTTCAGCAGCAGTTTGAGTCTCATTTCCTACTAAAGAAATCACTCAGCTTGCTTTGCTTAGCTATTCTGAATTTCTTTGTTTCTTTAAATATCTATTGTGTCTGGTAACTGTTCTAATAAATCGGAATGTTTCTGGGCTATAGCAAATTCTTTCAAGGAGAAGGAATAGGGACAGTTAGCAGTGCTTTATTGATCCCTACAACGTTACGTATACGGAAAGAACACTTATCTATTGTATCCTTCCAGTTACATGTACGTGACAACTTGATGTATTACTGAATCATTAAAATGTAACTTGCACATGTACTACTAATAGAACAAATACGGTATATTATATCGTACCTGCCTAATAATAAATGAGTCGTATTTAAAATGATGAATACCTGATTATTTGTAATATTTTGAACATATTTGTTGACCTTTACACCACCAGTTTCCTCTTTCATCACAAATTCAGAAAGTAGTCTAGTTTATAGTCTGCACTCCTTCAGAAGATTGGGTCAAAAATAGCCACATTTTTGGAGTAAAATCTGAAAATTTTGTCTGTTGGCTCCAAAATTAGGGTTCATTTCCAGAAATATTGAAGAATATAAAAAAAAAAGTGGAGAAATATTTGGACGAGAAAGTCTGGTGAGGAAAAGGTTAAAGGCCAATTTTTAATTTAATTATGTTTCCTATGTATCTCAGAATAGATGGTTTGTGTATAACAGAAGTGCACACAAATCCTAAATTGCATTTATTATTGCATGCTTGATCATATCTAGAAACACTTTTTTTATTATATAGTGCTACTAATAGTAACAGCAAATATTTGTCTATAGTCCAAGAGCTGATATACATATCTTAGGTTTCAAATTTTAAATTCATTTTAAATTTTGTTTTTCCAGGTGCGTAAAGTCCAACTACAACAAGAAGCAGAAAAGTGCAGAGTACTACAAGACGCATTGCATATACTTGCCACAGAGCATCACGAACTTCAGCGATCAATTTCCCCTACTTTTTCCGTGACGAGTTCCCACTACGTAGACGCAATCAGTGATGATGAGTTCTTTGATGCTGCTGAGTTGAGTGATAGCAGTAGTCATGGTGACATAATGGAAGAGGACTTTAGTACTTTAGATTCATTTCATAGTTTGCGAATTTCAGAAGGGGAATCTTCCCACTCACCGACAAAATCACCGCCAAGAGAAATGAACGATAATTCAGAAAATGGAGCGGTTGCTACCTGTGTGGGGGCACATAGTGGATATCGGTATGTAATTTGGTTTCAAGGTATATTACCCATAATGCCTTGTGGATACACATACTAGTAATTGGTGCAACTTCTCATTGTTTTCAACATACATGAACAAATTACATATATTACCCATAATGCATTGTGAAATCACAGTGGGTATGGGTATCCAACTTTCTTGATGTATATAAAAGTAATTTGCTTAAATTACCTGAAATGTTTTGTGGGAGAAATTAGGATTTTATGAAACTTATGTAAATTATTTCTATAATATACCCATAACACATTGTAAGTGCAAATAGTGCATATCAGCACACTGGTAATAGATGTGTACTTTAGGATTAATTACCCACAATGCATTGCTCATTACCATATTTGTTTGTTTGTACAGAACCAGATTACCTGTACCAATGTTCAACAAGGATCACTTTAGTTTGTGGACTATATTGAAACAATGTATAGGAAAGGAGTTGTCTAAAATCACCATGCCAGTTGTATTTAATGAACCACTCACATTTCTGCAGAGGATGTGCGAGTACCTAGAACATATACATTTACTTGATAAAGCTGATGCCTGCCAAGATCCAATTAAAAGATTAGAGGTATATATTTTTCTATTTCTTTTTTTGCAAGAGACAAATTTGATTGAATTGCACAAAAATCAATGAAATAATGAAAATCACAAAATATTGTATTTGAACATTTCACTCGGGGTTCTAAAACCAAGAGTCATAGTGACTTTTGCAGATTTGTTCATATGTGATAATTCAGATAAAACAGTTTTCAAAATCAAATTATTCAATTTTTGAGGAAGACGTTCAGTTTGCACCCTCTATCCAATACATGTACATAAAATCTTGCAATGAATGGAAAATCCCCGATTCTCAATATCAACTGGAAAATGTCTCTGTTTGTGCATCACATCCTGGGAATAAGGTAGACAGAGAAGACATTTGTATCAAACAAAAACTTTTCTCACGTAATTTGTGCCATATTTCGCAGCTAAAATACAATACACAGAAAAGCAGACATAATTCCACTAGTGTTATTATCTTCTCTTGCATTTTTGCAAGCTATTTCTATTGAAATAAGGTGCATTTCATAGTGTAAAACAGCAAATGTGTCAATCCTTAAAAAAGATTGCCACAGAACTGACACACTTTATTTGAGAAACTGAAGATTAGATATCCTTTACACGATTATTATTCGTTCCCCAGTTGTCTTCAATGGGCCAATGAGAGTTCTATATTTAGGATGTGTGCAAATCATTGCCAGCTTTATTAATAGCATTTACTGGACATTAACAATGACAGTGTTACCAGTATAATAAATCATGGTCACTGATGGTTACAACACATAACTGTCATACATGATTTATCAGGGCTGTGTGGCCATCTTCCTATCAACTGTCCTATCCTGCGGTCAACCAGGCTCGGTCGAACACAAGCACCTGCGGACCTTAATCAAGGTTCCCCCAAAGTCGCATTCGTTAGTGACCGAATCTCGGCCAGTGGAATTGGCCTTTCCAATGAGTCTGTGGCACACTCACCCAAGGTAGGGGTCGACCCTTTGATGTTCAGCTTTATAAGGTTGGATTTGAACTTGGGTCTACCGATCATGAGTCTGATGGACAACCACTATGCTACCAGTGGCCGGTCATACATGATTTATCTATCGTATCTATGATGTCAGTTTGGTGTCAGTTCGTTATTTCAGGATTAAAACTGCTAATAGATGAAAACAGATTAAAAGCACTGAAAATTCTTTATTGTTCTTAGCGATAGGTTATGACAGAAATTTAATAAACTGGGGATATATGAAATTGTTTTCATGTAAACAGCGACTTTGTCATTATTTCAAATTGAAAATACTTATAACTAAAATTCTTTAATTAGTTTTTCTTTTCAAGTATTTCTTTGGACTTTCAAATGCCTAGTCACAGGAATTATTTTAGAAAAATTAATATAATGAAATTTCTATGTTAGCCACTTCAACACATTAGAAATACAATGGTACCCACTCCATTTGCAATGCCTCAACCCCTAGAATGTGACTTTAAACGAGCATGTCAAAAATACCCAGTTGCTTGCTATTACAGGCAGTCTAGCTTTAATCGTATACTAGGGGTAAACATTTATGCAGGAGACCAGTACAGTATGGTACGGCAGAATACCCAGTCACTTTCCTTTACTTAATTGTCGTGCAGTTAAATCACATACAAGGATGGCAAAATACTTGGTCGCTTTCCATTGATGGCCTGTTCTGGTTAATTACTTACTAGGAGATTACATATAAGCTGATTTTGACAAAATTCACGTCCGCTTGCCGTTACAGGAAGTCTAGTTTAAATCACGTACTAGGAGTTTATGTCGGCAATGAGTCTGGCAAAACCTGGCTTCTTGTCATTGCTGATTTAATCACATATTATTTTTTAAACCAAACAAGTTTTTGTGAGACCTCTGTTGCTAATACATCACCATCCGAACACATGCTATGCTTATGTCTATTTAAATGTCTGCACCATGCTTGATATATAATACGATTGTAGAGATGTATTCTTATCTGAGGCTATTTATATATGCTTTTTTCCTAAATGTATGGTTTCCATATAAGCATATATAATTGCCCATAAATTGGAACACAAAATGCTGTGATACTGTAAAATACTTTATTTTCGCTTGGAATTAATTTTCGCTATTTTCACTGAAGAAATGATTTAGTGAAAATAAAATTCAGCGAATATACCTTTTTTCCTATATTTTACATTCAACTCGTCAAACATCAGTGAAAATAAATTCCATACAAAACACCCAAAGATTCTTTTCAGTGAAAATTAATTCCAGCTAAAATAAAGTATTTTACAACATGTAATTTATATTTTTTGAATCTTATCGATATCTTGTCGATATCTATAAGATAGCAATGTATATATATTTTTGCTTTCAACTGCATGCCTGATCTCATCTTTTAGTTGTGTCTAATCTGGTTTGTTTTTGAAACTTGATCATGTGTTTTTATTTACCTCATTGCCTGCTTACCCAGTTTTTTCTCATTCGGCATATCTGTGGAGGCTTTCAGCAGGCAATGCAAGTTATAGAAATTAGACATTCATCAGTGGGGCTCTGAATTAACAGTAGTCTAAGGGCTACTATTTTCCAAAATAAGTCTCCTAACTAAACTGCTGGTAATTTTGAAAAAAAAAATATTTGGTTCCCATAATAAGGCTTTCAGTAGCTAATTTTGCTTTTCAAATTAGTTGGTGATTTGCAACATTCACAAAAATTAAAGGAGTTGAAGATAATCTTTTTAATTTCAAAATCCCAAAATTCAAAAAGTTATTCTTCAACACATCTTTTTATACATGGTTGTTGATTTCTGTGCATGATGGTGGATGGTGAAAGTATTGTATTAATTAAGATGACTGGCTTGCTGAGCGCTCTGTGCAACAAAATTCTATTCCTGCTGTTTTGGGTATTTTATGTTGAGAATAAATATCTGTCATTAAAATGTAACTTTAAGGTAGTTTGCTACCATTAAATATACATACTCAGAAATTCTTTGAAATTCAGTAAGGGGTTTGTGTAATATAGGTTAATCAAACTATGTTTTCTTCATTTTGAAAATCGGTTCCCATAGCATAAACATTCCATCATATCTCAATTTTTTTTTATTAGGGCAACATATGACTGTCACGAAAAATTTTGAATATTGTTATTGGAAAATGTTCCAAAATGGCTGCTTTTTGGATTAATTTGCATATGTTTTCTCGAAAACACATTCTTTCTCTGTAAAAGCATGAATGGGATTCATCACAGAACAACTCATTAATGATTTACTGTGATAATTTTTTTTTCTCTTTTTTTTAATGGTAGTGAACTACCTTAAAGGCTGTCTTGGGGCAGCAGTGTGTTTTTGCATATGTGCATGGCATGTTTCTTACACTTTTCATATTTTTTTTTTTACAGTATGTAGCTGCATTTGCCACTGTGGCATGTGCTTCAAATTTAGACAGGGTGCAAAAACCATTTAACCCCTTACTTGGAGAAACATATGAATTTGTCAGGTAAGATTTCTGAAGTTTAGAGATATAATGTAAATGAATCCTTTGGACAAATTCTTAAAAAAAAAAAAACCTAACATATTTTCGGCAGGATATGTTTGATTTAAATCATTTTATCTCCACAGGAAAGACATGGGCTTTCGGTTGATTGCAGAACAAGTCAGTCATCATCCTCCTGTTAGCGCTTTCTACGCTGATTCACCCAACTGGAATTTCCATGGTTCTGTGCACCCAAAGCTTAAATTCTGGGGCAAAAGTGTTGAAATACAGCCTAAGGGATTAATATCAGTTGAATTGACGAGGTAAGTTGATTAATCAAGTATGTCTATGAATTTTTTTAGATGAAATCAAAAGTACCTCCAATTAACACCTAAACAGACCTGGCAATTAATTACCCATATTGCATTGCTCATTACCATATTTGTTTGTTTGTACAGAACCAGATTACCTGTACCAATGTTTAACAAGGATCACTTTAGTTTGTGTTTGAGTGATCTCTTCACTCACCCATATTGCATTGCTCATTACCATATTTGTTTGTTTGTACAGAACCAGATTACCTGTACCAATGTTTAACAAGGATCACTTTAGTTTGTGTTTGAGTGATCTCTTCACTCACCCAAATCAAGACCCAGAAGAGCTAAATTTCCGGCCATATTATTTTAAAGAGACAGCTCCCCTAATCACTCTTGGTACTGTGTTTAGGAGACTCGTGTTAGCTTCCATGGAATTGTTGCGCTTAATTAAATAGAGTTATTATTATTATTATTCCAGGCTATTTTCAAAAGACAAGGCTATTACGATAATCAGTGTCACAGTGTCATGTTGCTTTCTGAGTTTCGCTCTTCTTAGTGTGTCCATGGAACTATAAACCCCAGGAAGAACAACCACTTCGTTTCCTTTGAACTATGATAGTTGCCGCGATGTCGAATGTTTATTTTGACTGTTTATTTTGTCGCATTAAAAAATAAGCCGATTTACGCAAATGAACGTTTATCTCCGACTATCGGTCATTTTCGGAGTCAATCGGACGACTCCGGGAGATCACGTGACCGAGTTGTTCCGGTTATAGCATAAAAAAAACAATGGCGCCAAGACAAAAACACTGATAAATGATCAACATTCAACGGGAAAAAAAAACACATTGCCACTTCTGGCGATTGAAGGGAAACACGGAATTAGTCGGGATATCTCAACAACAAACAGCTCACCAAACCCCATGTTTCGCAAACTTTCGCAACCTTATTTTTTCGAGGGTTGAAAAAAACAAGAAGTAATCTAAAAACGACATTAAAAATTATGAAAACTCGCTAAAACTCCGACCCGTTGCATGATTTCCGGTACACTGAAGGTCACCCTGCAGACCGTCTTGTTTGCGCATGCGTAGTGAACGAAATATTTTACTGCGCAGATATGAAATTTTTTTTTCAAGTTTTCCGTTTTCAGCAAAGCGGTTGATACGGGCGTATCGGCGGCAACTAACATGGAGTATGACTAATGTCGTGGAAACAAAAGCGAAAGCACTGTAAGATAAACTAAGACAAAGGTTTTTTTAATCCTCTTAGTTTCGTTGTTCTTCCTGGGGTTTATAGTTCCATGGTGTGTCTGACTACATCTTACCCTCCATCTCATCAATGAATATGAAACTATGTAGATTTCATATTGTTATATTAAAATACTTTCAATCAAAACAAAACATTTTCTTGAGGCATTCTACTGACACAATAATATATTAGAAGCTTGAGCACATCATATTTGCTATTTCCAGGCATGGCGAAGTTTACACATGGCAAAATGTCAACAACTGTGTTCATAACATCATTGTTGGAAAGCTATGGTTTGAACAGTATGGGCAGATGGAGGTGACCAACCACAAGACTGGAGACCGAGCTGTTATCAACTTTAAACCGAGTGGATGGTTTGGGAGAGAGCTGCATCGAGTTGATGGCTATATTATAGATCGCAAGTAAGTTTCTGTGTATTAATTTTAGAGACCTACGTTGTGAGTGACATCTAAGGAGAGTCAATGTCTTTTTATGAAAAATGGGTGCTTGGTGCAGGAATTATGTTAATAAAATATTCAAAGAATCAAGAAAAATGTGACGCACATGTCATATATTTACAGAAATCCCATATCAATTGCCCGTGGTCAATGAACCCCAAAAAGGATCATTCCAAAGTCTTTTGTCTTAAATAAATTTGCATTTGTTTTTCAGGAAACAAAAGAAACTTGTGTTATTTGGAAAGTGGACAGACTATCTTTATTCAATTGACACGGGCACCTACGACAGGATAAAGAAACATGAAAAAGAAGAAAGGAGAAGCCGGAGTCATCGACGAGGACATGCTGCCCAAGCTAAAAAAGAAACACCATCTGTTGATAAGGTTTGTAGGTTGCATTGTTCACAAAATAACATCCACATTATTTTTCAAAATATTTTTGATCAAAACCTATAGCCAATAGAAAACTAAATAAATTTAGTGCTAAATCACAATTTGGACATAAAAAAATATGGCGATCAAGTATATGTAGGTGAGTTTGAATGTTAAATTACATTTTGTTTTCATCTACAACAAGGTAGCGATTTTAATCCTATGATGCATCATACTTCAACGTCATTTTTAGTGCAACAGGAAGGTAATTTGGTCATTTAGCGCAGTTAGCTAACAGTGAAATGACCAAAAATAAAAACAGAAACAAGAAAAACCTGTTATTCAAGTTCAAATGTCATGTGGGGGGGGGGGTTGCTAAAAACAGCTTTAGCCAATCAGCCACAAATAAATCAGCCTTGCAAGATTGCAACAATTCAACAAGCCATGTTATGCTATAGCTAATGATCACTCAAAAAGGCAGAGTCAGATAAAGAAACCGGAAAATGAGTTTGTGAAACCTATTTGTTTAATAAATGAATACTAACTGAAATGAGGCCTTAAACGAATCAGCTTGCATTTTTTGCATTTTCGGCTTCCGTTTGAATATGAATAAACTAATGAGCATCAAATGTATTTGTCTACTGCATTTATTATGTACTTGATGAATAAAGTAATGCAGTGTTCTCCCCACATAGAACAAAGCATGGCGGCACTGCCATGCTTGGCGACCCGGCCGCCACGCTTGGGCTCGGACCGCCATGCTTAAAACTTCACCGTGTTCTCCCCAGGATGTAAACAGCGTGGCGGTCCCGCCACAGTGCTTCGATTTGCCGCCACACCGGTCTGACACCGCCACGGTGATTAGCAAGACCGCCACAGTGCTTTTTTTCTTTGGGGGATCTCGTCACGCTGGTCGGCCTGACCGGCACTCAAAATTAGCGACCACCACGGAAACGCTTCCGACTATTGTTATTATACTTGCGTACTGACCGACACGCATCCGGCCAGTCGTTGATAATAATTTGTAAACAATAGACATAGTCACGTGATGTGGTAGCGGCTTTGAACAATACAAGTCAATTTTGTAAAATTAGCACCTCTTTGTTTGTAAGTAAATACTTTCTGACGATGGACGCAGTCTTCAGATTGAAATCTAAAATTCTTTCAAAATCAATTCCACTCGATATAACATGGGCAAAGCAGAGTTCACGATCTGTTTACGCTACTCAAGAAAAAAAAAACATGTTTATTGCGTGATTGGGTAAAATACATTTCAACTGTTATCATCGTGAATTATGTAAAATCTCTTCTTTCAAGACTTTTTTTTACCTTTTAAAAATTTCTAATCACCTCTTTGGAAAACCATCATGCAGTTTTCATCTGAAATTCATACCAACACATCGTGCTACGACATCGCTTTACTTCCGCAATGTAATTTTTATGATCACGATCATTCGGAAAACTTTGGGTTCTACCGGCATTACCATGCGGCATTCTGATTGGTAAATGGCGTTTTTGACCCACCGGGTCAAAGGACACATGCCGGTCAACTAATGCGTCATAACTATCATGGCGGTCTGTGTTTTTCACCGAAGTGATCGAGTGATCAAAAATAATTTCTCCCGATAAAACTAGCTTTTTTCTTATAAATTGGAAGTGTTATTTGTTCGTTCATTTACTGTAAATGTAAACGTTAGAAGCTGATGGTCGGAATAATAACCCCCAATCCGCCAAATAACTACATGGTCGATTTTTTGAAGGAGAATTTTGTAGTAAATAAGATCATGAAAGTGGTGAACATAATCCTGGCTCAAACGTTTCAAATGAGTTTCATTTAACCTTTTACAATTTATTTGTTTCTTTTTAGTCTGCAGCATTTGCATTTCGAGAATATTTCATTTTTAAATTCAAACTCTTCTAAATTGTGAAATGTAATATTTTGACCCAAAAAAAAAATATTTTCCCTGTGACGGAGCTCATTATTATTACAAAAGTGCCCAAAATAAAAGTGTTTATAACACTGTGTGAAGCAAATAAATATCTGCTACTTTGTTTTTAAAAATATATGTTGTTTATTGTGTGGGTGTAAATGTGTTTTGGTCAATTTCTATTACTATGTAAATGATATGCAAATTAGGCCGCCACAGTGGTTAAAATTCCTGGGGAGAACACTGGTAATGGTTACAGATATGTACCTGATTACATTTGTATAAGTGAAACATTTCTATATGTTTTGTTTCTAGTCTTCAAGTGAAAGCATCGGAGATGAGCATGGAGCATTCTGCGCAGGACTTTTCAGTCATAATCAGTCATCCACAGATGATGAAACGGACAGCTCAATGTCCACTGACAATCATTTCCACACATTGCTGAGTGATAACCCAGAGTCTCACTTTCTATGGAGAGTACCACCAAGACCGGAAGACTCTGTACAGGTGAGATAAGCACAGTATTACACAATGTTTGTTACATGTTTAAAATAAATCTCTTAAAAATAACACTAATTTTTAGACAGTGACAGTGAAATAATCACAGTATCTACAGAAAGTTTCTTTTGCACCCCTTACCATAATTATACCACCCATTCAATTGTATATGTCCCCTGTAGATAACTATAGGTGTCCTTAGGAGGGGCATATGCAATTAAATCGGGGCGCTGGGGGTAGGGTTAGGGGTGTTGATGCAAAGGGAACTCTTTTTGTACTTGTAGAAAGGTAGTTAATATGGCCTCACATTGAATTTGATTTTTTTGCAGTATTACAATTTCACATATTTTGCAATGAGTTTGAATGAACTGAAAGACGATATAAAAAAAGGACTTCCAACCACTGATTCCAGACTCAGACCTGATCTCCGAATGCTTGAAAATGGAGACATTGGTAAGTTGATTAAGATTTGTAATACCAGATATTTTAATCCTTCATGAGTCAGTGCGCCCTCTAAATAGCAAAATTGTTTATGTAAAAACTGAAAATTGGCTTAACAATTGGGGTTCATTTCCAGAAATAGTAAAGAAAATTCGGCGAGTAATTCGGCAAGTCTGGTGAAAAGGTTAAACTTTAGTCCAAGCATAGAATATTGGTTTCTGGAATTTGTTTAAACAAGGACTAATTAATATACAAACAAAGAAATCTGGTATCACAACAACTTAGTTTGTGCCTATAAAATTCCTACATGATCATTCCTGTTAGAGGCCACCCGTGTACTCCACCATGTGATGTTCAGCATGTTGAAAAGGCACCAAAATGGCTAACATTATTTGGTAACACCGTTTATCAACTGTGCAAACGTGTCAAGTAGGTACTATTCAAAACTGTTACTAGTGTAACCAGTACACGGCAGTCTGTGGAATTATTTATGCATTCAGACTCGCTTGTCTAAGATTTTTTTGTAATTATGTTCCAAAAATAGCAAGATAATTTGATGTTTTGGTAGAATATTCATGATTTTTGTGTCTAATTTTATCTCCCAGCCATAGTAAATTATTTTTGACAAGTCGAGAAAATCATGGTTTTGTCTTTGATGAAATATTGCAGGTGATTGGACAGCACTTGTATTGATGATTACACTCACAAATCATCTGTACATTTATTATTCTGAGCATACTTGCATACAAAACAAATACAACAGATTACTTGGGTTGAGAATATTATAGTTATAGCAGAAGGAATGAAGAATACAAATCAAAGAAAAGTCTGGGTAAATAATAATGCTGTGGGCTGGATCAGTTGAATGGGCTATAAACTCAGTTGGAATTTTCATGATATTTTTTTAGATTTTCAGGTATAATCAAAAGTAAGATTTGAATGTTAATTTCTAAATGTTACTTGCAGATGGTGCATCATCCGAGAAACATCGACTAGAAGAAAAACAGCGAGCAGCCCGAAAGATTCGGCACAAGAACAAAGAAACCTGGGTGCCAAAATGGTTTACCCAAGGTGTCAGTCCTGAAACAGGCTCTACAGACTGGATCTATAATGGGAAATATTGGGATAAAGACTATTCTACATGCCCTGATATATTCTAAATTACACTCGCAGTTAAGCTGATTGGTTGAATATTATGTATGATGAATCCTTATTGGCCAACCTTTTGAAGTTTGAAACAATGAAGCTCATTGGTTGAATATTATCAATAGTGAATCCTGATTGATCAACCTTTTAAAGTTTGAAACTCAGACACAATGTGATTAGCTTGGTTCTGCAGTTTGTAAAGTGATTTTTTTTTTATGTACATTATGTTAATTTATAAACAATTTAAATAATTTAGTTGCCAATACTCTTAATACTCAATTCAATATCGTTTTAATCTTGATGGCTTCACATAGTTTTTAGTTTCAATAAGTTGAATTACGTGAAAGTTCTAGATGGGTTGGACGATAGGTGTATAATTTCAACATGGCCATTTTTTGTTGAAATTCAGATGCAAAGTTATCAATTAGATTGAAAATGTTTGGAAATAAAACAACCAAGGCAATTGTCTGTATGTGTGTCAGAGAGGAAAATTATTTTACAGATATAAGTTGTTTTATTATTATTCCAGTTGCTGCTGGTATATTTTGCGATGACCAATTGTATGTGCACCAGTAGAGTTCAGTTGTCATAAAACTCAGGAAGATATTCTCATGCTTTATATAATGCCTATTTGAATCTATCAGCAGTGTTTAGCATATTACTGTTTGCACACCTTGTTATCAACCAATCAAAGGTAAAGAATTAAATTTTCTCTTTAAAATTAATATCAATTATGGTAATTTTTCTCTAAAAAAAAAAAAGACCTGAGCTTTCTCTAAAATAGACGTTTGAAACGAACGAGATTTCGATGTGAGAGACGTATTTTTGCCCCCCTAATTATGTTCCATTTTCACCTGTCATTTCATCCACAAGAGAATGGAATGCACTCTAGGAATAAAACATGTCTTGTGGTTATCTCAATTACCAGTGATCTCATTGGCTTTTTGCATCGGAAAATTCTGTATGGCGGATTTAAAAGCAAGACGCACAAAGAATTATTTTTTGTTGCATGAAATGTAGGTTGTAACGGGTTTTCTGATTGGTCATTTTTGCCTACTTTGTAGATTTTGTTTCTAAATTAACCAATGGATCAAAGGAATATATCTCTGTACACTAATTATTTTCTATGCAGTAGGCTTCTCCACTTTGTGATATTTTTAATTTTTCATTGTTTTTCTCTTATTGAGATCTGTGTCAGCTGAAAGCTTTGATTCTTTAGATAAAATAGTCGTATCAGTAATTAGTTCTTCCAGATGTGGCCATATTAATGAATTATGTTATTATTAAAACAAATTGGGATGTCAGTATTTTATAATTTAAAGACTGCTAGATATGCCTTAATATTTTACTATATGGTCTTCTATTTGAAGTTTGTGTTTATGTATGAAAATGAAGTAATTTTGAGATACTATTTTATGCAGGCTCATCAAAGATGGGAAAGGTGATTATCTTTCACATTGTCATTGTCGTTAACTTGCCTCAACAGACTCCAGAAATCAAAATTAGTTCAGCTGACCAAGAAAGCATGTTTTAACTAGAACAGGTAAATTGTACAAATTGCCTGTCCTCTGGACAGAGGAATAGAGATCAAGTTTGTACTGGCTGACCAAATGGGGTTGTCTAAAGTTTTACTTGCCATGATTGTTTTCAGAGTTTTCAAGAATGAAAATTAACAACTATTCAGGGAGTTTGCATTCATTCTAATATATTTGTGCTATGAACTGACTCCATCTTACTTTGAAAACATGTAATCCTAAGTAGGCACATTATTGAAAGGCTTTATTCAATCAAATTTCAGTATGTACAGCTCAGTCACGTTAAAATTAACGCAAATGACCAGCGAAATGTCAAGATGAATTGTGCACTTCAAATTGTGTTTCATTCTCTTCTACCATTGCTGCACCCACTATTATCGTGACCTGTGTCTAAGGTATTAGGAACAGTGGGAAAAAATACAACATTTTTTTTAAGGGTGGAAAAAACAAGAATTGTGGCTGTCTTGTTCTTGAAGAGATCTTGATAGTTGTTTGCATCTCTGATCTATTGAACTGATTGAATTGCAACCATTGTTGACTATGTCGATGAGTGAAATACATAGATGGTATAAATTAAACATTTCAGCTTCATATAAACATTATTGTCTATGCACATGCTTTGAGTTGATATTCGATCATGTTGCATACACAATTGTAATAATGTAGATTTCATAGTATTTGTTCAACAACAATACAAAACATGCCAGTTATAGTGCTTGAGGTGTAATAATATGGCAGTTCATATTCGTCTCAGTGAATCATTAATACAAAATACTAGGACAAAAGCCAGCTAAGATTTTCTGTTATCTTGCATGTTTTATGAATCTATTCATGTCTAAATGCAGCACTTTTGTTCTGAGATGAGGCATTTTTTTTTATAATAAAATATCTGAATTACTTCGAATAAAGCTGGAAATTATGTCCCTTAAAATAATTAAACAAATTTGGCACCAATGTTTTTGTAAGATATTTACATCTATCAAGGACATTCAGTAGACTGATTCCCCACTGTCAACCCCAAAACTTGTTTGTATTCAAAATTAATGACAATGCATATTCATATTGAAACGAACTATGATAAAGGGAATAATATTATATAACAAAGGGCAGGGTCACCAGAGTTCAACTATGTTATTGTAAATCATTGCCCCATGACCTACTGTAAGTAACAATTTCTATTTGTGGTTTGTTAAAAAAAAATATAATTAAGCCAGTACCATGTGTTTAATAGTGACGAGGTTTAGTAATGTAAACCAGTTTTATGATGTATTCTTCCAACAATTGTATAACATTCATTGATTCCTTATTATTGACATTAGTATTTAATTTTTCACTATATATCGTGCAATCAATTATGTGTTCAGTATACCTTTTGTAAAAAGGAGTATTTGGATTATTCCATTTCCAGAAATGGGGGTAGTATTGGGAATCACAGAAAGTTTTTTCTTGTAGATTTGTTTCATTTGCTGAAACATTAAATAACTATTTTGGAATGTTACACATGTACTGTAAAATACTTTATTTTCACTTGGAATTTATTTTCGCTGAAAGATGAATCAGTGAAAATACTTGTTTGTTATGTTTTATATCAAAATCAGTGAAAATATACTTCACCCAAAACAGTAAAATGTCTTTTCAGCATAACCAAATTCCAGTTAAAATAAAGTATTTGACACTACATGACTGCAGTGAAATTATTCAAAATAACTAAAAGTATCAAATACCATTTTCAAATGGATCATATTTAACAATACTAGCAAGCAGTTTCTATTTTAAGAATTTAAGTGAGAATTACTGTAATAATAGTATAGTTAGTGCTCTCTGCATATACTGTATGAAACTAAAATTGTGAATATTGGGAAAATCACCAAATTGTATTAATGAAAATGTCACAGCAATATTCATTTGAAAGTCCATCAAATTTTATTGAATTATGAACATATCCAGCAGAGATTAACAGTACTTTTAAAAACAATATCTGTAAATGTACCATTTCATCAGACTTTTCATATCTTTCAATCAAAATACAGATTTTAAAATAATTTCTTAAAAAAAAATGTATGTATGAATAGCAAGCAGTCATTGTAATTATTTTCTTTTTAAAAAAGTTTTGTTATTTTTATTTTCTTGGCATAACTTTCTTAACCGGTCAAAATCTTGGTGCAACATTTTGCCCATTTTATGTTTTGTTTTCTATAATTTCTCAGAAAATTTTGGATGAAATGAACACCATTGGCTACAGATCTTGATCAATATATGTAACAAATTTTGTGGGTTTATTTTGTGAAAAGTGACGAAACTTTTGTAATTTGAGCTTTTTATTTGTGGCCTACAATTGTATGTAAAATGACTGTCGCAGCAAGACCTGTCTAATAAATGTGCCATTTATTGTAACATTTTCATGATTTGATGCGAGGATAAATGGGATAAGATTTCTGATGATTAACTTGGAAAGCATCATATCTAACACACATGGTTAAATGATTGCGTCTGTTTAAGCAACAGAAATGAAGTACAAAACTATGGTCTTAATATGACCGAGGTTTCCTGGTGTTAACCAAATATTTCTGTACCTCTAATGCATACACTAAGAGTGCACTTAAAAGTGAGGCTTGTTGCGTTGGGACGTGACAAATCGATAACTAATAACAAACTAGGGTGTCCTCAAGTTTTTGAAATGAACATCTGCAACACAGCCTACTTTCTTGACTTCTGGCAGTTAAGGTTGTGATGAGGTTACAAAGTGACTGAGAGAAGGATTTAGTTGACTTTAGAGGGCACTATTGATTACAGCAAATTTTTCTTCTCGATTTAATTGGCACTTCAATTTAACATTCAGTAATTTAGGGATGAGTATGCAAGTGTCACCACTAGAGGGCGCTGTAGGAAACTATTCATTATTGTACTTTACTATAAACTATGTAATTAATTTAATGTATATAGGGGCTACTAAAATTAATTTTGTTGCTTAGTAATGTATACTTTGTTCTGGTTTTACAAAGGTTGCAATAAATTTGCATATTATGATATACTTACTGCTTTGAAGCGGGTCATTTTGAAAATATGGTGTGAATGGCATTAAAAATGTCAACACTGTGCCCAGATTCACTTGATTGTTAGTGCTGCTGATGAATATGGTGTCTATTATTTTGTCACTTTTGGTAAAAAAAAATGCTATTTTTGACCTTGAAAACTAAGAGCTCAATTGCCTTGATACTATCATGAGTGGACCTCTGAAATTTGTTTATTTCCATATTTTTATCTTTTTCAGTAAAGAATGCTGTTTTTTGGGGGAAAGCCGTTGAGTGACAGAGTTTGGATAATTGAATTTTGATTTAATAATCTGATATTAGTGACCCCTTGTTGCAGGTAATTTTATAGCTTCCAAAAATGTCTATTTTAGCGATAGTTTTTGAAAGGAAATATGTTTTTCGGCTAGTACCGTTTTCATTAAGTCCTATCAAATTGCAATGTAAATTGTCCATCATTTGGATTTGTTTTTCCATCTGAGCAACATTTTTAGATGAAAGTAACCCAGACTGTCTTGTCCTCAATAATGTCATGTTTTTTTGCTTGGAACCCGACACCTGTGATTTAGCATGGGGTTGCTGTATTTGAAGTAATATGTGCCATATGCCACCTAAAATAATTGTGATATTCACAAGATATCCTGTCAGAAATAACCAAAGACCACTAAACATTCATTGTGATTGAGCATCAAGTCTTATCACACATAGGGATTTCTGATGGTTGATTCAAATTAAAGGCCCAGGTATACAGTAAATACGCTCCTAAACAATAGGGATTATTTCCTTTCTTGTCACATTGTAGTAAACAGCTCCAGCTAAGCTCCAGTAAAAACGCGTTTTCTCAAACTTACAGGTCTAATGTGTCATGCCAAAGTGGATGCATGTGACTATGAATATCACAGCAGTGACTGTGTGTAGTATTTATGACAATAAATAGTGTACGAGCTGAGATTTTGGCGGATAAAAGTAAAAAAACATGAACCGGGGAAAGGGACGCGCAACTGATCTTGAATAATTACTATTGTCAATCAAAGTCACGTGATGTTGGAGCGCTGAAACAGGATGCGTCATAGGCGATGCAAGTGATTAATACCACACCTCCAATTCACCCTTGCCCGGGGCAAGTGAATTGGGCCTTTAAGCCTTCTTAATACATCAAAATTTGACATTTGTTGCAATGGCATATAGAATCAAAGAAAGCTTAGAAAGAACTCCCATGTGCTGAGAGTATTGGAGACACATTAAATATAATTCGAAATTACTTAGCTGAAAACTAATTA